GGTCTATTACCAACATATATATATATATATATATATTAGAAAATGCTACAGGTGTGCATGGAATAGGCACTACAGGTGACTCATCTAGATGGCGATGCTGATGATGATGATGTTTCGGTGATGCTAATAATTATGATGATCATGGTTTGGTTATGGTGGAAACGATGGTGATGATTGTTAGCTTGATGACGATGACGTAAACAAAGATGGCGATGGTTAGAACGAAGATGATGATGTAGATGATGATGACGTAGATGATGATGATTTTGTTTTCTTTTTTAATTTTTTTTTTCAAATATTTTTATAAAATGAATGAAAAACCTTTTTTGTTAATATAGAGACGTGTCTTACGTGTTACAGTTCCATGCAATGTTATAACGGTTAAAATCGAGCAAAGATATTTCATTTATCCAAAGTGCACGCATGCCAATAAAACCAGGATAATGTTAAAAACATGTTCTATCTGTATTTAATCTTTCACTCACTCACTCATTCACTCACTCACTTTCTCACTCACTTATTCACTCACTCACTCATTCACTCACACACTTACTCATTCGTTCATTCACTCATTCACTCACTCAATTACACACTAATCTCGAAACACAAAATAGACAAAACTAGTCATTAATATGAAAGAATAGATGCCTAGAAGAATGATAGGAAGGTATTCTTTAAGTAAGAGATCCAGAAAACCGCTGGTCCAGGCGGCAAGCAGGGTACTAGCAATGATGTAAAGACACAAGATGAAGAGGAATATGCCGTACCGTCGGCGTAACTGTTGTTCACGGATTTCCCTCTCCAGAAGTCTGTTGTGGAAGTCGTTTATGAAGTTTCGGTTTCTATTTCGGTTTCTATTTCGGTTTCTATTTCGGTTTCTGTTTTGGTTTCTGTTGTTGTATCTGTTGTTGTTTCTGTTGTTGTTATTAGCGAGAGTGTTGTTGTTGCTATTTCCGTGTTCGTTGTTGTTGTTGTTGTTTTCATTGTTGTTGTTTTCATTGTTGTTGTTTTCGTTGTTGTTGTTGTTGTTGCTATTGTTTCTATTTCCGTTTCCGTTGTTGTTGTTTCCATTCCCGTTGTTTTCATTACTGTTGTTGTTGTCATCGTTGTTGTTGTTATTGTTGTAGTTGTTGTTGCTACTTTCGTAGCCGTTGTTGTTGTTTTCGTTGTTGTTTCCATTTCCGTTTCTGTTGTTTTCGTCGTTGTTGTCGTCGTCGTTATTGTTGTTGTTGTTTCTATTTCCGTTTTCGTTGTCATTGTTTCCATTTCCGTCTCCGTTGTTGTCGTTGTTGTTGTCGTTGTTTCTTTTTTTGTTTCCGCCGTTGTTTCTGTCATTGAAGCTATTTAGAAGCTGTTGATCTTTGCGAGCCTTAGCTTGGCTAGGTTGCAGTTCCTTCAGAATAGAAGTCCTGGAATGGATTGGTAATTTTCCCGGAGGTTGCGTTTTTGTCGGGATTTTCAATTCATCCTCAACCGTCGCCACGGAAGCGATCCGTGGTTCCTTGTGGCCGTCAGTTGGAGAGGGTCGTGAAGTTTGATGCAGCGGACATTTCAGCGGGGCTTTATTCCTCACGAAATCTATGGTGTGGTTGAAGAAATATTTAAATAACTCCGTCTTTGAATCCCTCATACTCATCGCCATTTCATCGATACATTTTTGATAGTAGAAATTTAGTTGTGAGCACAGTTGGCAAGCGGGGCTGTCCGGGGAGTTGTTTGAGGGGGTAGGATCGATCCAGAGAGGTACCTGCTGATCTATTTCTTGAGTTGGTTTGTTTGTCATTTTTGACAGGTTTTCGGGATCTGTGACTTCGTTTTTACAGTTGACATCAACCTCGTTGTGATCACTTTTTGTTGCGGTCATATTTGTGTCGGTAGAGTTTGGGTGTGTTTTCTTCTTGCTATCATCACCATCATCATTCTCATCATCATCATCATCATTCTTATCATCACCACCAACATTCTTATCATCACCATCATCATCTTTTGGGACTTTTTCGTTTTCATTGTTAACTATTTTTCCAACATTATCCTCATCATCATCATTCTCATCTTCATCTTTCTCTTCGTCTTCATCATCATCTTTTTGTATTTTATCTTTGCTCACAGATTGCGTTTTGTTAGCTATTTTTCTATCATCATCATCACCCTCATCATAACCATCATCACCATCATCACCATCATCACCATCACCATCATCACCATCATCATCACCATCATCACCATCACCATCATCACCATCATCATCACCATCATTATCACATTTGTCGTCATTAATTTTTTTCATATTTTTCGGAACGCCATTCATTTCGAATTTATCAACATTTTTATCATCACAGTCCTCCTCCTCATTATCATCATCATCATCATCAGCAGCAGTAGCAGAAGTAGCAGCAGTGGCCTCACCACCATCATCATCACCGCCAACATCATCATCATCATCATCATCGGCAACAGCAGTAGTAGCAGTGCTATCACTACCATCATCATCATCATCACAGTCACTATCACTATCATCATCAGCAGCAGCAGCTGCTGCAACAGTAGCAGCACCAGCGTCATCGTCGCCACCCTCAACATCAGCATCACCTACCACATCACCATCATCTACACTATTATTATTATTATTATTATCATCATCATCATCATCATCATCATTATTATTATTATCATCATCATCATCATCATCATTATTATTATTATTATCATATCCGTCATCATTTGTACCATCTTCACTGTCATCACCTCCAGTTTTATAATCTTTGTTATCGTCACTAATTATGCATTCTATGCTGTCATCACTGCATTCGTGGTCTTTGTTATCGTCACTGCATTCGTGATCTTTGTTATCGTCACTACATTCGTGATCTTTGTTATCATCACTACATTCATGATCTTTGTTATCATCACTACATTCATGATCTTTGTTATCATCACTACCTTCATGATCTTTATTATCATAATCACCACCATCACCCGCGTTGACGTCATCGTCTTTGGTTCCAATGTTACGTTTAGACTCCAACTGAGCTAAAGAACGCCTCGCCATGCAAGAACAATGCTGTCGGATGAATGAATGAATGAATGAATGAATGAACGAACGAATAAATGAATGAATGAATGAACGAACGAACGAATGGATGAATGAATGAATGAATGAATGAATGAATGAATGAATGAATGAATGAATGAATGAATGAATGAATGAATGAATGAATGAATGAATGAATGAATGAATGAATGAATGAATGAATGAATGAATGAATGAATGAATGAATGAATGAAAGATAGAGTAACATGGCCGGTAAGATAAACCGGTAAGGATGAAAGATAAACTAACATGGCCGGTAAACATCCACACCACTAACTCCAGCGAAGGCACGAAAAGGTAATGCCGACATAATGCGATCATGGTATCTGATGGAGTGAATGATTGAATGAATTGATGAATGAAAAAATGAATGAATTAATTAATGAATTAATGAATGAATTAATTAATGAATGAATGGATGCATAGTAAAAGAATGAAATTAAAATATAGAAAAAAAACTATACCCGCATACATACATAGCATGTACAAGAACATATGAAAACACAAAACACACCTATAAACAAGCACCCACACACGCACAAACAAAGAAACACAAACAAACACACACAAACAAACACTAACACAAAAACACACGCCAAAATACACGAACCAACCTAAGAAATACCCGATATACAACAAGGGCAACAACAAAAACTGAAAAAACTGTGATAATACAGTATGCAAGCTTAAGCTCAAGGTCATCCCCAACGTTTGCTTCTGTTTGCATGAAACTTTTCCAGATTTGGGATTTTTCCAAAATGGGTTTTTCCAAAATTGGTATTCCCCGTGGAGAGTATTTTCAACAGTGGATATTTCTAAAAGTGGTATTCCAAAATGTGGCTATTTTTAGAAACGGCGAAGTGATTTTATCCTGAATGGAATTTCCAATGGGGTTTTCCAAGATTGGGTGGTCTCCAAAGAATGCGTGTCTTCTAAAAAATGTTTTAGGATGGTAGGTTAATTTATGTGATTCAATACGTTAATTAATTTCATACTTTGCTATAAGGGTACTGATTGGTTGATTAATTAATTAATTATTTAATAATTAAAATGTAATTAAGTTAAATGTAATATAGTTTGGTGTTAATATATCATAATTAAAGTAATTTGGTGTTATTACGTTTGTATTTTTAGTAATTTTGAGATTGTTATATGACACAAATTTTAAAATAATAAAAATTAATGTGTAATTAAAAGTTAAATGTAATATAATTTGGTGTTAATATATCATTAATTATATACATATATATATATATATCAAACAAATTTTAAAATAATAAAAATTAATATTAAAAAAGTGATGATAATCGTCAACATCATAACGCTAATTATAGTGAAGTAAAATAATTTAACAATTTAAAAAAACAAAGCTGTAGAAAATATGATGTCACATAAAAATTTATAATTAATGAAAAAAAAAAATAATTATTATTATTATTATTTGTAATAATATTTTCAAGTTTAACTAACCAAAAAGTTGAATAAACCCCCAGGAAGCCTTTTTCTCTTTCAAATTTTCCAGCCTTAACAACAAATTTATTACCTAGTTACTGTATAGCAGTATAAAAAGACAAAATAACTGCTAGAATTACTATTGTTTATAAAATTATATATAATTTTATTGCATTATTGTTTAAGTTTTTTGCAGTTTTTTTAGAAACATGTTTTAATAGTTAACTGTGTCGTCTCTTGCAAAATGTGTTTACTATGTAATACAGTAATTTATATGTATATGTACGTGTGTGTATGTACGTGAATGTGTGTTTGTGTATGTACGTTTATATATGTGGGTGAATTGTGTATGTACGAGTGTATGTTTGTTTGTATGTATGTGTATGTATGTGTGTGTTTGTGTGCGTAGTAAAAATACTGGCTGCAGTAATCATACTATACCTGACAAAAAAAAATTGTTGAATTCCGTTAAATTTTTCGTTTTGTTAGCAGTTAGCACTCCTTGAATAAAAATTACATTTTAATAATTATTGTTATTATTATAATTATTATAGTTATAATAATTATTATAGTTATAATAGTTATTGTAGCTGTATCATTCATAGCTAGATCATACTTTTAATATTACTGATTCTTGTCTAGCTTGGTTTTCTTCTTATCTCTGCAATCGTTTTTCTTCTGTTGTTATCAATAATTCTACTTTTTACTCTTTTACTCTTACTTTCGGGGTACCTCAGGGTTCTTCCTTGGCCCTCTTCAATTTATACTCTATACCTCTGAACTACCTCGTATTATTAATAACTTTTCTTTTTTTAGTCAACTATTTGCTGATGATTTTTATATTTATACTTCTTTTCCTCCAACTAATCTCAATAGTGTTCTTCATAATCTATCTATGTCATTCTTCTATTATCGCTTGGTCTGACTCTGTGTCTTAAACTTAATGTTTTAAAATTTGAATTAATTTGTCTATTCTATTACTATTCCTTCTATTATCTTACCTAATTCTAAATCTCTTGATGTATCTCATAAGATTCTAGCATGTCTCTTTTTTCTCTGATTAATAGTGTTGCTAAAAGTTTTTTCATCTACGTATAAAACATTTGCCTTTTCTTGACGATCTTACTCTTCTCCTTCTTGTAACTTATTGTAGCTCGCTCTACAATGGTCTTTCTGATTCAACACTCTATCCTTTATGTACAGCTTTTAACTCTGCTGCTCGTCTAGTTGCTCGTGCCCCTTTCTTTTCTATATATCTCTTTATTTTGTTCTCTTGTTTACTGGCTACCTATTAAATAAAGAATAATTTTTAAAATCTGCACGTTCAAGTATAAGTCTCAATCTAAATTATTTTCTAAGTACTTATCAGATATAGCAATTGAACCTAAACGCCCCGCTTTACGATCTTCATCTTGTTCTCACTTTTTTTACTAAATCTGCATTTGTTTTTTTTGACCCTTTTCTCTGGAACTCTCTACCTCCTTCTCTGACTACTTCTCCATCACTTACAGAGTTCAGATCTCAAGACCCATCTGTTTGCAAAATTCATTGAGGAGCGCTGTTGAACATCGCGGAAATAGCGCGTTATAAACTAATTGATTGATTGATTGGTTGATTGATTGATTGAAGTCTATGTTCAAATATTTTTCATAAAAGCCAAACATTATTAAATAGAACTATATATAAATATATATATATATATATATATATATACATATACATATATATACATATTAAAATAAAAATTACGACAGCCATAATAATAATAATAACTATTTTTGTATAAAACTGTTATAATTATTATTATTAGGATGCATTTTGTTCACGAGCAAAAATGAAAAACACGAAAGAATTATAGAAAAAAATTATATATATATATATATATATATATATAGAGAGAGAGAGAGAGAGAGAGAGAGAGTTATAATAAAATGAAATGTGATAATTACAATAATAATTATGGCCCTAATTAATTAATTAATTAATTAGGGGTAGTATTGTTAGTATAAAAACGTTCGGCGAATAATAAACCACCTGTTCGTTTGTTCAATTAATCAATTAATTACAATAAATATAAATAGACAGTATTAAAACCATTATTATTATTATTATTATTATTATTATTATTATTATTATTATTATTATTATTAGAAGTAGTAGTAGTAGTAGTAGAAGTAGTAGTAGTAGTAGTAGAAGTAGTAGTAGTAGTAGTAGTAGTAGTAGTAGTAGTAGTAGTAGTAGTAGTAGTAATAGTATTATTATTATTATTATTATTATTGTTATTATTATTATTATTATTATTCCGACACCATCATCACCATAATCAGGCCATCACCATTATCATCGTCACCATGCTGACCATCATTGCAAAGAGCAAAATCGGTATTCCGGGCAATAATATAACCACGGATATCGTTATCACAACCATACCCGCCGTTGTAATCATAATCATCATCGCCATCACCATCCTCATCACCACTATCGCCGTCTTCTTTATAACCACCATCATCTTCGTCGTCGTCGTCATCATCTTCGTCATCTTCATCTTCGTCTTCCTCATCTTCAATGGTTCAGTGGCGTAGGCTTGGAATGTGAAGGAAGCCATAACTATAGGCGGCTTACGGGTATTTAATTAACATAATTTATTATAATTTAATTATTATTCAAATTTATTATACTGGTATCATAAATTAATCATAGTTTAACTTGTTATGATGTATACATATACAAGGCCCTTAACAAAACCACGTATCATTCATTAGTCAGGCGAATGATATGCTTGGGTTTTGCTTGTATTCGAACCCCGACATTGCGACACTGAACCAGAAACTTATCTACTGAATAATGCAATATCATCTCAACAACATCTGTAACAGCGACGACAACAGTATTAGAAATATTAATTTTAAAAAATAACATCTTTGAATCAATCACCCATCTATATGAATCAATCAATCAACCATCCAATCAACTGGCCAGCCAGCCAGCCAACCAACAAACAAACTTACAGAAGTTTTTTTTCGTCTCGCATAGCTTAGGGCAGGCTCTTTCAAGTTTTGCTCTAAGGGGGCGGCAGGCCCTGAGGTGCCTCAGACACAGACACAAGACAGTGAAGATGAGAAGTATAATGAGAATACTACAGAGGATAAGAAAAATGTTTGACCCATCATCATCTACGATGTTGTTGTTGTTGCCGTCAAGTTGTTGTTGTTGCTGCTCTTGTTGGTATTTGTAAAAGCTGTCTGTGATTGTTGCAATGGTGTTGTTGTTGTTGTTGTTGAGAGTTGATATGGTGTTGTTGTTGCTGTTTGGAAATATTTTGTTACTGACGTTGTTGTTGTTGT